ATTTGAAATAAGAGTTCAAATGCTGCTCTGTTTGAAAGATATTTTTAGAACGTTTTATCTTAACTGAAATTAAGAAAAGCTTTAAGAAATTTAGTGATTCACTTATTTGAAATTATTGTTACAAATTATGAAAGTATTCTTTCTTATATTAAAAAAAAAAAAAAGTTCCGCAAATTTTAAGAAACCCCAGTAAGTACAAGTTAAAGTTTAAGTTACAGTGGCGGCCTCATAGGAGGGTCGTCACAAAACGCATTCAAATAAAATTTAAATTTAAGTTATAATTTTATTTAAGATTATATTCATTTATAAAATTTGAGTTTGAATTTAATTTTTAACTCGAGTTTTAATTTAAATTTATGATTAAAATCTGAGTTTAAGTTTTTTTTTTTAAACTCATCGTCACAAAACGCATTCAAATAAAATTTAAATTTAAGTTATAATTTTATTTAAGATTATATTCATTTATAAAATTTGAGTTTGAATTTAATTTTTAACTCGAGTTTTAATTTAAATTTATGATTAAAATCTGAGTTTAAGTTTTTTTTTTTAAACTCAAGTTCTTAAACTCAAACTTAAGTTAATAAATAATATTTTTTTTATTATTAAAAACGTCATAATTTTTTCGTTTTAATTCCGATTGAGATGATTTTTTTCTATGCATTCACAATAAAGAGATGAATAAAACCCCACCTATATAACCTATTAAAATTTTTCATTACCATTGAGTTTTTATTAAAATACTATTTAAATATAAATTTAAGTTTTGACCCACTCAAACACAAACTAAAATAGATTCTCAGTTTAAATCATAACTCAAATATGCACATCCAAACACAAATTTAAGTTACAACTTCAACTCACATTATAACTCAAATTCAATTCAAGATCTACACTCAAGTCACCATAACTCAAAAATGCAACCGAACAAAGATCTCTTTCCACTCAAAAGCCTCAAAGGCAATACACTATTGCTCGCTTTTTTTTTAATTTTTATTTTAATATCCTATGTTATATTAAATATGTGTTTGATATCATGTATTTTTTAATAATTTCATGCATGTACCTCAACGTTTTATAAAATATTTTTTAAAAAATGCTCTAAATATATTAGAGATTGAGAATTTTTATTTTTTTTTATTTTAGAGTTTTCTAAAATATTTTTAATGTGTTTTCTTTTTTAAAAATCTGAATAAGTTAAGTAAATGATATAAATGACATTTTATGTCCTAAAAATTGGACCACTATATAAAAAACTATCTTCTAAAATGTTGAGATGCCTTTATAAAATTATAAAAAATACAGTACCAAAATATATTTCAATATAACACAGAGATATCAAAATGATATTTTTTTTTGCTTAAACAAAAAAAAAAGAGAATTATACGTGTCATCTCATCCATTATCTTCTTCAATAGTCTTTATCATTTGAGACTCACCGTTAAAAAGAAATCATCTGATCAAATTCTACTTAAAAATGGACGTAATTTTTACTCATACGATCACATATCAACGCTGCACAACACATTATTAATTCGGTAGAAGTCATAAAAGTGAGACTGTGGAATGTCAAACGCGCGTCTTGGTCTTGAGAGAAGAAGAAAAAAAAACTTGTTATAAAGTTACACCAATCCATTGGTGGTATATTACTGCTCGCTTAATTCAGGCTCTTCCAACATTCTTTTGATTGGATCTAACTACAGGGCCCCGTGAAAGCATGAGAACTACACGCACAGTTACGTGCAAGGAAACAACTGCCACGTTTCACAAGCAAGGCCTCCGATGTCCCTTCTATCCACCACAAAAATCAATTCTCAAAATGAACAAATTTGGATAACACAATTGAGAATTCCCATCCGATGGACGGCTGAAAATAATGCAAACGCAGAGAAGTCTTCTAATGGCCATCAAATTTGATGGGCCCACCATTAATATAATTTTCACACAAATTTTTTTTATTTTTTTAATTTTTTTTCCATCTGGCCTGCGACCCCCAAAGAAATCCTCTCCATCCAAGAGAAACAACAAAAATAATTTGGTATCCATTATTTTCCTCCACGTAAACAACTCATGGTCCCTAGAGAAAACACAACCATCTCTTTAACTCGCAAAGCTCAAGTGTCCTTTCTTCCCTCTCTTTCGCAACTGAAGAGACTTGAACAAAAATTGTTTTATTGCAAGGTGTAGCTCAGATCCTGGAATAGATGCTGATCAGGGCAAATGTGTATTGCACACTACTTTCTAGTCCTAGAAAAGTGAAGGCAGTCACCAGCTATGGCTCATGGCTGATAAAATACCATAGTAATCGCAGGCCATTTCAGAGAGTTTCTGTCAAAGCCCTGAAAGACGAGACTGGAGGTGAAACAAGCGGATTCCGCGGCCAGAGTTGGGACCCCGGCTTGGAAATTGAGGTTCCTTTTGAGCAAAGGCCGGTGTGTAGTGTGTTTTGTTTTTGTTTTTTGGTTTCTTCTTGTTTTTCCTATGATAAGTTTTCTGTGGCGCATAGTCTCATTGAGCACCAGTTGGCAAACACCACTCATTTGGCGAAGAACTGAAAGAAATTGCTTTACTTTATATCAAATCAAAAGAAAAAAAGGGCCAAACAGCAAGTTATAACGACTTTTTTTAACTAAATTAAACCGAGTAATAACCTCTACTTACCAGTTGTGTGTTCAAGTAATAGGTGAACGAGTATTCATCCCTGAAAGATGGAGCCTTATATTCGTGGGGCGAACTGGGACCGGGAGAGTTTTTCATTCGCCTTGGAGGTCTGTGGCTGGTGACTTTTACAGTTCTAGGAGTGCCAATAGCAGCTGCAAGTTTCAATCCTTCAAGGGTAATTCAAGAACATCTCTGTGAAATAGTCATGAACTATACAGTAATGAGGTAGATCCACATGTAAATAAATGACTAAGGGCTTTTTTTTTTTTTTTTTTCAGAGTAAAACAAAAAAAATTTAAACTCAATTTTATTTAAGTTCATGTTCATTTATAAAATTTGAGTTTTAACTTGAATTTAAGGCTAAAATATGATTTCAAGTTTATTCTTCAACTTAAGTTCTTAAACTCAAACTCTAATTAATGAACAATATTTTTTATATTCTTAAAAACGTTATTATTTTTTCATTTTAATTCCGATTAAGATTATTTTTTTTATGCGTTTTATGCGTTTACAAAGAAAAGATGAATAAAATTTTACTTATATATCTTATTAAAATTTTTCATCACCATTGAGTTTTTATTAAAATACTATATAAATATAAATTTAAATTTTGACCCATTAAAATAAATTCTCAATTCAAATTATAACTTAAATGTGTACATCTAAACACAAACTCAAATTATAATTTTAATTCAAAATCCATATTTAAGTCACCGTAAATAAAAAATGTAACCGAAGTAGTCCTAAACCTACCGTCCTACATAAATAGAGTTGGAATAAAGCAACAGAAAGTGGAAAATATATGCTTTCATATACAAAACTACAATAAACTGCTAGTAAAATTAGTACACAATTATCAGTCACATCATTATAAGAACTGACATAGACATTTGTAAGCTTGTAGCCTGTAAGATAATAATTCATTGCTGAAATTATCTACATGTCACTATTATGTTGATGCCATTGTCTGTCTCATCCTTTCAGGAGCCTCTAAGATTTGTGCTAGCCGCTGGGACAGGAACCCTTTTCCTTGTTTCATTGATTGTTTTGCGAATTTATCTGGTATGTTCCTTTTTTGGCTTCTTGTTTATTTGATTGGTCCAAAGCTATATGTCAGTAAAAGTTCATTTCCTAGGGTAAAATGCAAAAAGAAAAGCAAAAGACTAACCTGCCAAGAAGAAAACATAATAGTAAAATGACTTGCACTAATCCACATGTTATTAACATCCTTGCAAATTAAGTGCTAGGTAGTATGCTAGTTCACTGTTCTGATTGTTATTTTTTACTATTTGGTGAGTCCAGATGTGTACTCCTTTAGGAGACTCATATTTCCCATCAAGGAAATATGTGCATGATTCCTCGTAGTTCGGTTTGCATACTTAATTTCTTATTCATTTTAATTAATTTAAATTTAAAATTTGAGTTTTATTACAGTAAAAATTTTTTAAAAATAATCACATTTAATTTTTTTATTATAGTAAAAAGCTCTCACATAAAATCAGATTTCAATTTAAATTAAAAACTCAAATCACTGAACTAAACGGGCTCTTAATATTAGTGAGTGAACATTTCTTACTTGGAGTTCTTATGCATAATATGCAATTAATGACTAGTTTTCTCCCTTTCTCGACCGGTTAACCCATTCAAATCATGCATGTTGCAGGGATGGAGTTATGTTGGTGATAGACTTCTATCAGCAGTCGTACCTTACGAAGAGAGTGGATGGTATGATGGACAAATGTGGGTGAAGCCACCAGAGGTTAGCACTTTTTCTAGCTTCTCATTTCCTTTCCCACTGAGTTCATTTTCTCACTCTGTCGGAGTAGGAAATAAACATTGTAAATTGGAAAGTTCCTTTATTTATTTCTTGATTCTGTGTATCTGGAATGAAGATGAATCCCAGCCACTGCAGGAAAGATTAGAGGAGGTTAAACAGAAAAAGCTGGTAACAGTTAAAGAAAATAATTGCTGATATTACAAGAGTAAACAAATTAAGCAATACGCTTTGGAAGTCTAGTGTTTTACTCCCCTTTTGTTGCTCGTAGGTCCTGGCTCGCGACAGGTTGTTGGGCTCTTACAAGGTACAAAGATCTATAAAACCTTAAGCAATTGAAAAACAAATGTTAAATGTGTATAGTTGACTTCTCTAATACTTATGTTTCTACTTTCTCATTTTTAAACTGCCGCAGAGGATTGTAAGCTACAATCTATAATGATTTTATCCGTAGGCTATGAAATCCACATTGAAAATGGAGGCTTTTATGCCTGTAGGTAAAACCAGTTGTCAAATTACTGAAACAGACACTAGTGGGGACAGGGGCCTTACTCGTGACTGCAGCTTTACTATTTATCTTTGCGACACCAGTGGAGGATTTCCTTCGTACCACTTTCACCACAAAAGAAAATTCATCAAATGTTGCAGTTTCAAAGTTCGACAAAAAGTTCAATCTAAGGTATGAATAAACGAACAAAGATAATTAAGTAAGAAACTTGTATCTGACTATCTGGTTTTATTTCAACTTTTTGATCATAATGATGTGTAATCATAAACTATAGGAAAGAAGAATTGCTTAAATTGCCTGTGGAGGTGATGTCCGATGATGATCTCGCCGCCGCTGCTGCTGAGGCTGCTGATGGAAGACCAGTTTACTGCAGGGATAGGTTTTATCGTGCATTAGCTGGTGGGCAGTACTGCAAATGGGACGATCTAATTAAGTAAAGGGGAAAAGCCGGAGGCATAAATGACAATATATAGGTCCAATTTATAGATGGCCTCTGTGATATACAAGTCCAATAAAATGAAACATCAACTTTGCATTTTTTGCATTATTTGTTAAGGAACTGAATTTAACTGAAATCAGCATCAGCAAAATGTGAGTGACAGAGATATTAAAACGTACAAACAAGGACGTGATAAATTGAGGAGCATAAATTCTTGATTTACAACATTTTGTACATTAATGAAAACGTAAAAAGTAAAAGACTAATACCAAGCTTTTTCAAACTAGCCTTTCAGCTTATTTTATCATAAATGTACATCAAAATGTACATCAAAATATGTAGAACCGGCAATGTGGACCTAATACGGCAGGACTAAATCTTAACAAGCCAAAAAAATCCATGATTCCATTTCTTTCTTTCCACATTAGCTGCCATCTTCCATGACTAAGAACAGATTCCAAAGTCGCTGAAGCTAAAGCAGCTAGACAAGCCTGTCCATAAATTATTCCAAGAAGGATCTTTCACGTCACCTGGTAGTATGTCAAGTCATCTTTTTTAACACCAGTAGCAGGATACTGTATCAGTGGTTGTCACCCTTAGATTTCTTATTACCTTTGATAGCTGATATTGGAGCAAAAGGAAAAAGAACATGCGACCATTTGGAGATCAAGGATCCACCAAGCAACATAGCTCGATCAACCTGGAGTGCGAAAGTTGAAATTTCAACTTCCAAACAAGTTTCTCGCACTGAATCGAGACTCCATGAGTTGTCCTTTACTTCCATAACAAGAGATATCTTTCTGATTAACTTTGAGCAACACATAGGAAAGACTGGTTTTTGCAAAACTTCTGGATCAATTGTTAGCTTGGCATATGAAAAACAGAGCAAAAAATCTTTGAACTGAGAGACGGGGCAATTCATCATGCCAGTGCTTTCCCTTCTAAATGAGCTTCTTGCACCAATTGAGAATTCTAGACAGTTTTCGTTCAACAATATCTACGACAGTTCGTTTCCTTATTCTTGCATCTTCGAGATCCAATGTTCTATATGCAAGAGCAAGAAGATACATTGCAGGGTGTAATCTCCTGTTAATAGCAAGAATGATATAAGTTTATTCCCAAAGACATGTATCCAGAACGTAGGTACAAAAATTTAAAATTAAACGTTTTGTACTTTAATGTCTATACATAACAGCGTGGGTAAGGAGAGATAACAGGGAGTTATTGTCCTCCAGGGTCCCATATATAAAGCAGAAGCTACTATCTTAGGCGACTACAAATTCATCGTGTTATATACTAGATATCAAAATTTTAAATTACAATCTGTATTTCAAAATCTATACATAAAATCCCAGGTCAAGGTAGATAGATAACAGCAAGGCATAAGCTAAATCTTGGTGACAACATAAATAACATTACTAGGCATTAAAGTTTTCAAGTACAATATTTGGGCTTTAATATCTATGCATAAACCCCGGTTCAGGAAAGATAATAGGGATTTATGGCCTCCAGAATCCCAGACTATGCTTAAGCTAGTATCTTGGTCGACTACACATTCATCATGTCATGCTAAAAAGTTCAAAATATAATCAGTTCATGCAGGTTAAAAGCTTTTCTTCAAAGAAAAAGCATCAAATTTCAATGATTAAAAGAAAAAACACTTGACTTCCACTAGAGTTGTTAATCACCAATAAAGAGAATTTTTCAGTCATAGAAAAAGGTCAAGCTTCACTGTCCAAAAAAAAAAAAAAAAAAAAAGGTCAACCTTTCCAGAGATCAAAGTACATCTACTTACTTCTCAAATTGTTCACTTGGATCAAAGCCGTCCCAATACCTTTGCGATGGGACTGTCCAGCCTTTCTTGTCTCTGCCAAATGTTTCAACATACCAACCACCTACATCATGCATGCCACACCGAGGTTCAAACAGCCAAAATCTGTTTCAATAAGCAAGTTTCAAAAAGTTATACACTATACAAGCGATATTTGTAGCATGATTGAATAGGATAAAGCTCAACAATAAAACTGATATTTCTTCCACCAAGGGAAAAAAATCATGTTTTTGAATGAAAAATTTTAGGGTATTTTGATAAATTAGTTTTAGGACCCAAGGGTAAAAGGCGGTATAGTTTAGTGCCTTACTTGCTCGGTGGTAACCTAGCTCTACTGCACCTACACTCGCAAACAGAAACCTCCTCTCCCACTCCATACCAATGCATGTGCCTCACCTGAAAGGATATCATATGGGAAATACCCACAAGGACGAAAGCTACAAATATGTTGTAAAGAAAGGAGGCCAGCTTTACCAACCATAAGTGTTCTATGTTTCATAATCACATGGGTTTTGGTACCACTGCTATTGTACACAAAGCAAGACCCTTCTTCTGCACTAGTCCCTAATCCAGTTATAGTTCCCAGAGGAATTCTTGATCCAACAACACCACCAGATACGGGTTCCTTTGTGAATCCTTTGCTAATCTTTTCTGGACACTCGTATGAATTGAGAAATACATGTATGCGATCTTCATCCTCTTTATTCTCTATTCCATTGGAATAGCCTTTGGGAGGGACCCTTGTTGCCAGAGCAACCACTCTTCCATACACATGCAGTTCTAGATCAGTATATGCATGAAGTTTGTGATCTTCCACATTCCAGTCTTTCAACTGAGAGTTCTCAAAGTCATTCTCATTCCCGCCATTAAAACTCATGGACATGCACTCATTCTCACCAGATTGACAAATTCCCAAATTCACGGAAGTTGGAGAATTTAACTTTTGTTTAGAGCAAAATGATAACTCTGGAAATTTATTGACCACACAGACCATCCCAAAAAGATCACGCCCTGAAACCAAATGAAGCACCTCTGGAGTCTCATACACTGATCTCTCCTCAGCTTCAAAGCGGTCTGGAAGAAAATCTGTCGATTCTATAACCGGGCCATAGTATGCTTGCTGTATGGCAGAATAAAAATCCCTTTCAAGCACATCAAAGTATCCAGTCCCAACAACCACTTGCTTCTCTGACAAAATATCTTTTATTGCAGATCTATACCATTTTAACCATTCAACTACTTCCAGCTGCTTATAAGTCGAAACATGGGAGTTGTACACATAAAATGTTACATCTTCACGAGATTGTTTCTGCAGAAGCTTCCTTTGAGAGAAAAGATAGCTGTCATAATGGGTCCTCTTCTCAGAATCTGAAAGAACCTGCAATCCATTATTGATTATGCCGTAAATCAGAACACCTGTATATCAAAGCATAGTGCAAAACCTAAAATTACATAACCCCCTCTAAATGCACATCCATATTACAATACCATCAAAGAAGTCCTCCCAGAAAGAATTTCTCAAGCTATATAAGGTTCATGTGCTCTATACCAATATCCACAAACATGATCCAAAGCTTCCATTGATATTCACAGCATATAATAACCCAAATCAAGCTAAAACTAAATACTTAATAGAAGAGCAAAGACTGGAAATAAAATGTCAAACTGCTAACACTATGCTGCAAAATTTCCAAATAACTTCGTAAGAAAATGGACAGTTCAGAATTTTCTACCGTCTTCTGCATCTAGCATTCACTTTTCCACAGAATTCATACTATCCTATTCTGAATAATTGATTCCATTTCCTCAATAATCACTAAACAACGGAAAGGAAACCCAATTCTTTGACATTTTCTGAACAAAACACATTCATTTAGTAATGAATTTAGGCTCACCAAGATAAAGAACAACGCACCTCATATGCCGCGAGGATTTGCACAAATCGTTGGGAAGCAGCGGAATCGCTCTTGGACACGGCCAGGTCCGGGTGAGTTTCTTTAGCCAATTTGCGAAAGGAAGCTTTGATTTCGGCGAACGAGCTGGTTTCCGAAACCCCTAGGAGCTCGTACGCATTCTGGCCCGAGAACTCGGACCGAGCTGACTCGGCGCCGCCACTGAACCACTGAGCTCTCCAACTCGGATATAAGAACAAGAGGCAACGGTTCGCTCCGCCGCGGTTCGGTTGAATAATTGCTATGTAGGTCCACCGACGGCGATTTTCTCCGGCGGTAATGGCGCTGCCGGTAGGATAATTCATGTTATCTCTCTATTCTGATTTTGGAAATTGGTACCGGATTTCTAAAACATGTATATTTATGTATATAAATGTTTAGATAAATTATAAATATTTCTTTACATGATACATATTTTAAAATATATATTTTTAAAAATTATAAATATGCCACTCTAATTTGGAGCCCGGTTGGAGGATTTGTTCTCTGATTCGAATCATGATTCATGATGCGCTACCGTATTTTTTCTCATAAAAAATACACGTAAATAAAAAATAGTTCTAATCTCATGGTTCTAATCCATGAACCAAACGGACTATTAATATCAGATTAGAGATAATTCCTTTAGAAATTAGTGGAAATAGTGACGCCGAGGAGAGATTTGTTTCTGATTCCTTTGTTTAAATAATAGCAAACAGCTCCCCATATGTTTTAGAAATGTCACTTTGTACCCTGTATTTTGAGTAGTGTTGTAATTTTGGGCGGCGAGTATGCCTGAGGCCTGAAAATTTTTAAGCTCGGTGGGCAGGCATCATTCGCCGCCTGTCTACACTTTTTTGCCGGGCTCGGGCTCGGGCAGCCCGCCGCCGGTGGAGAAGCCGTGATCGCCGTCTGCCGGATTTTTTTTAAATTTTCCAGCGTGACCCGATGCCTGAAAACCAAAAAACGGCTAGTTTTTTTAAATTTTTGCCCGACCTGAACCGAATTTTTTGTGACCATTAGCCAAAATTTGAATGCAACAGCTCAATTTTGCCCGACCCGACCCACTGCCCGACATGGCCTACCCCAACGGCTCTTTATTTTTTTATCGTTTCCCGATTTGCCCGAACCCGACCTGACCCGAGTGTGTGTTACCGTTGGAACCGAAAATTTGAGGGAAATTTTTTTTTTTCAAGCTAAAAAATTTCCTATAAATACCCCCCTCCCCCAACCATTTTCCTCACCCAAAAACTCTCATCCTCTCTTAATTTCACTCAATCTCTCTCAAATCTCTCTTAATCTTTCTCAAATCTCTCCTAATCTCGCTCAAATCTCTCTCGATCTCTCTCAAATCTCTCTTGATCTCTCTTAATCTCTCTCAAAGCGCTCTCAATCTCTCTTATTTTTCATAATGGATTCTTCTAGTTATGGTGGTGATATTCCCGTTGATGCCCAATTCAACATCGAAGAAGAGCAATTTCTTAATGTTTTTTCAACGCAGGAATCACAAACTACAGAAAGAGTTGCTGAGGAAACTACAAATCCGAGCCCTGATGGACGTACTAGAGGTCGTGGACGTAATGGTGGTGGGCGTGGAGGAGAGGCAAGCGGAAGAAATTGTGCTAGTGCAAGTGTTGCAAGTTTTAAGAAGAAATGCAAGCGCACCTCAACAGTTTGGGAGCACTTCAACACATTCTATGAGGTCGACAATAACAGTAACGTTAAATACATAGCTCAATACAAATATTGTAGTGATAAATTACAAGGTAACACTATTCACGGCACTACACACTTGAGAAGACACTCTGAAAAGTGTCTTCAAAAGTAATAAGGCATACCCGATGTCCACCAAACACAATTATCGTTTGATTGCCAAATCGGTGGTCTAACCACTTAGAAATACGGTCCGCAAGTCGATCGTATGGAAATGACACGATTAGTAGCCATATTAGATCAACCACTTAGTTTTACCGAACAAAGGAATTGACAGCGTTATATTAAAATTGTACATAATCCTAATGCACAATTTTTTTCAAGAACCACTCTTAGGAAAGATGCATTAAAGTTATATAAACAAGAAAGGGAAGCATTAATCAACCTTTTACACTCTACTAGTGGTTGCGTTGCGTTAACGACGAATATTTGGTCCACCGTTGCCAACAAAGATTATTTAGCTGTAACCGGACATTATTTTAAAGGTTTTAATTTAGATAAGAGAATATTAGGTTTTAAATGTGTTATGGGATCACATACCGTCAATTTAATATATAATACAATTTTATCTGTCATTGATGAATATAGTTTAAGGGATAGAGTAATGGCTATAACATTAGATAATGCTACTGCAAATACTAAAATAATAGAACTTTTTAAAAATGATTTAAGTTTATTCGGTAATAATTATATATTTCACCAACGTTGTGCATGCCATATAATTAATTTAATAGTAAAATCCAGTTTAAAATCAATGTAAGGTCATATTAAAAGAATTAGAGATAACATTGCTTGGATTCAAGGTAGTAATCAAAGAATACAAGATTAGTTTAGGTTTCTACAAGTATGTAATCAAAATCCTAGAGCATTAGCCTTAGATATACCCGTAAGATGGAACTTCACTTATATAATGCTTGAACAATGCATCCCTTATAAAGATGCTATAACAAACTATGTTAGTGCAAAATTAAGACCATGATTTATAGACGAAACTGATTGACAAATTGCCAAACTCTTGTATAACTTTTTAGGTAGATTTCACGAAATTACTTTAAAGCTTAGTGGAACTTATTACCCAACGTCACCATTAGCGTTAGGAGAACTTTTAAGAATGGCTATTTTATTTCGTGAATTTAGGACATACGAGGTTTTAGGAGTTCGTATTACTTCTATGGAAAAGAAGTTTAAAAAATATTGGTCTAAATTACTAATGTTGTATGGTTTCGGTGTTATTTTTAATCCTAGATTAAAATTAGATGGTTTAGAAAGTGGATTAGAAAACTTAGGAGACCTTTTAGATATCGACTGTTCTGACCAATTTCCTATTACAAAGAAAAAAATATTATCTCTCTATAGCTCTTATGAAAGTAGGTTTAGAAACATACCTTGTGTAGAACAACCGCAACAACGAGACGACAGTCCACATTCATTCTTGAATATTTTCGGGTTGAAGAAGAAGAAGAAGACGACGATAATGACTCAAGGTCAAGAAGAATCTGGGAGTGGATCTTCATCAAGAGGTAGCGACAACAGCGGCGGCTTCCACGAATTAATGGCGTACCTGAGTAAGGGCTTAGTTGTCGACAATAGTGAAATGTTTGATTTGGTTCAGTGGTGGAGGGCACGAGCATTAACTTGGCCGATCCTAACTCGACTGGCAATGGATATTTTTTCAATCCCAGCCTCCACTGTTTCAGCCGAACAAGTATTCAGTACAACCGGCCGAATACTTGCAGAATGTAGAAACGCATTGCAACAGGATATTGTTGAAGCTTTGGTATGCATCAAGTATTGAGATCGCTCCGACCAACGCTTACACGATACAATTTCACCGGCAAGCCAAGAATGGATCGATGAATTTAATAGATTAACTTTTAATTTTCAAGACGATCCATCACCTTCAAATTAAATTCTATTATTGTAATTTGAAAATATTTATTTACTTAGTACAGTGTTATTGTAATCTTGTATAAACTTTGTAGTTCGTCAAATTTGTAATTAATCCCATAATGATTGCACTCTTTTTTCCTTACCAAGTTTTATCCCAATTGGGTTTTCCTTGGTAAGATTTTTAACGAGGCAATCATGAATTACAAATTTAAAAATTAATAAATAAATAATTTTTTTATATAGTTCGTGTGTTCATTTCGAATTTCAAATTGTAATATATATAATATAAATATTTAAAAAATATTTAAAAAAATTCAGGCAACTCGGTCAGGCTCGGGCTACCCGACCGGGCTCGGGCAGCCAAAAGCTGCCCGAAGCCTGTCCATGATGTTCCTCAGGTTGGGTTGAGCAGCCCAAAATTTCAGGCTCGGTCATCGAGTAAAAATTCAAAATTTTCGGTGGTCGCGGGCGGCTCGTCTAAAGTTTCAGCACTAATTTTGAGAGAGGATTATTAGCACCATTAATCCCAAACTTTGAGCAGAGTGTATTTTGGTCTTAAATTTTTAGTTTTATGGGGCTTTAACATAATTATCTCCTAAGCTTGTCGTACTTTATCAATTACCTCTTCCACATTTTGTTTTGATAATTAACCCTCAACTTGTAAAACTATTACAATTAGATACATTTAACAAATAGACATAATTAGACAATGGGTAGATTTTAGGGACTTAAGTACAAATGACCCTTTTGAGGATTTTTTCTATAAATAGCAAAAGTATTGTAAAATTATAAAAATAATCTTTTTATTAACTTTCAAAGATTGGCTTAGTATTCCATCATTGATTGACTTAGCAATCCATCATAATTGATTTTAGTTTATCACTGATTAACTCAATGATTCTTCATTACGTTTCAATACTAATAAATAATTAATCAAAATAAATTAGTAATTAATCAATTTCTATCAACAAATTATAAGTTTATTAATGATAAATCATTAAATTATGGGTCAATTACTCATTGATTGTGGATCAATCATTGATTCACTCCTTAAAAAAACAATCATCCTCCTTTTAAAAAAAAGTTCAGTCATTTTCTTAAAACAAAAAAGTTGGCCATTTATGAAAAAAAAGTGGTTAAAAAAAGGTCATTTAGCAAATTTTTCCTATATTTTTTTTAAAGGAACATAACAGATATTCTATATGCCTTAAATATTAAACAAAATATCAGTAAAAAACCTAAAATTTTATTTTTGATAGTTTTTTTATCTCTATACTAAAGTTGACAAATAATTTATGAAATTTAATGTAGATTCACTTTCTCATCGCATAATAATTGAAAATGTTACATAAATAGTTGTATTTGTTCTCAATGTTATAATTTTTAACAGGTTTTAATAGTAATAATGAAAATTTTTTCCATGTAACGTATAATTTTTCCCATAAAGTTTAAGCTATCGACAATGTACATGTGATTATTGTCACTTTTATTTTTAAGGATCTAAATTATCAAAAAATGAAAGCTCAAAACTAATATTTTAAAATTAAAAATTCAATAACTAAGATATTAGTATGCTTAAATTTCAATGACTATCACTGCCAATTACCTTTGAAATTATATATATAAAATAAAAATCCTGATATAAAATTTTAAAAAAGAAAAACAAGTTTGCATATCCAAGCCAAGCGCTCCTCCTCAATCCCTTGAACACGCAACCCCTAAC